ACAGTAGTATATATAGGGGACCTCTGTACCCCCAATCTACAGTTCAGTTCACTCGAACATCTCCTCTCATCGCTCTTACAAGCCTCTTACAATCAACCAACCCTTCTAGGTGAGTTGCAGGCTATCCGCTGTTGTTGCCACCCGTGGGAGAGGCCTTGCCCCCCCCCCCGGGTTCAACAATGCGCGCAGATGCTTAATGGCCGGAGTCTGTCGGACGATATGGGAGTTGGCCAGCATTAGTAGGCGCTTGTGGTTTCCGGAAAGGGTAGGCCAGTTTCGGGCGCCGTGGCCATGCAATACCATTGTTTGCACAATTTGCTGATGTTCAACCCCTCCGTACGTTATTGACCTTGTTCACAGTCGCACCGCACCGACTCACTTTCGTCACTTTGCTTCAGCAGAACTGAATATGTAGGGCACAATTGCGACATAACCTCGCGGATTTGAATATCGCACATCCTGGCGTGCTTTCCTGTATCCTCAGCGTCCCGCTGCGCTCGGAGCGGTGCACAATATCAGTGTGCTGGAGGACGGCGAAGTGATGATCTTATTGTCGGAATCTCGGAGACCTATGGCAAGCGTGTAGCAGTCGCAATGTCGAAATGATCTCTCCCTGCATATGCTGGGTCTTCCAATGTTCAAATCACGGCCTGACTCTCAAGCGGGGGTCTTAGGAACCGTATTCAATCGTCGAACGCTGACTGCCTAACGTACGCAAATCGCTATCCATGACAATCTTAGATGCCTAAGGACCCTGACGGGTGACGACAGCTCTTCGATAGCGCTCATCACTCAGCAAATCCGCAATATCCGAGGAGCCAGTCTAAAAGTACCCAGACAATGTAGGTTAAGAAGTAAGCCCCTTCATCGACGGTGCCATCAGTAGTCCCTTCAAATTCACAAGTGACATCTATCCCTAGGAGTGTTCCTGCGCAGGGTACAGAGCACCGGCGCATGGCAAAGCGATGGTGGCGTATCTGTAGATTGTCCATTGAAACAATGTCGCAATGGGAAAGCGGTTCAGCCTCAGTTTGTTTCCCCGAGTCACCCCCCAGGCGGCCCATCAGCTATACTGCTTTCATTGTTCCTGCCGCCCGTGAAAGCCCGGTACTCGCGATGTTTCAGTTTCCTTACGGCTGGCTTCCACAGCCATGATGGGCGTACATCAAGCAAGCGAATGGCTCATCCCCGCTGGGACTCAGGATATATAGAGATGGCCTGGTCCGTCTGTTGCCTCTCATTCTGATGACGATGTTTTCTCGATCCGTTCTTTCTATTCTCCAGCTCGTTTCTTCCCTTTTCCTCTATCTTTCTCATGTTCATGGGCAGATCTTGGGTCTGGCTTCCACGCCACCAGCCATGGCGCCGCTATGACGGATCTGGTCGGACTGGATGATAATGGTAACACACAGGTGCGTCTTACCTACTCTGTATCGGTTTATCTGTGTTTATAGCGGCAAACAGTATATGGTGAACATCACCCTTGGAGGAGAAGGTGAGTGTCTCATGAGTACTCGCGATTGATCGATCAAACCTGGAGGGGTCATCGCAGAATTCACTGTAGTGCTGGATACCGGGTCAACCGATCTTTGGGTTGACGTCCGCGATCGTAACATCAAGCTCACCAACTCTACTAATATCACTGCGGAGGAGGGTTACGCACTGGGTTCGGCAGCCGGCACTATAAACTTCGCTGAATTGAGGGTCGGCGATTACCTGGTTCCTTCACAAGGTATTATCTGACCGTATTGCGATGGTGACGAGGTCTGACGATGCGCTGTCTAGCCTTCGTCGCAGTGATCCAAGTACGCAATGTCTTGAAGCATCCCTTACTGTCTCTAATGATCACAATATCAGACTGAGGATCAGAGCGTCCAAGGCATGCTCGGTATGGCGTTGGACGATACCAGCATATACGAGGCACTCGCGCAGGCGTGGGGCAAGAAAGCAGCGAATGAACTCGGTCGTGCGTTCATCACCAACCTTTTCGCACAAACCAGTCCCTTCCCAACAACTTCGACATCCAGCTCGGCCGAGAAACGCTTGACGACCCGACTGGTACCAACGCGGTCACCATCAGCGGCCATGCGCCTGGTTTCGAGAATGTTACGGAAGCCCCGAAGTTAACCCGCCAGATGCCAGACCACTGGACGCTTTATCTGACGAGATGCATATCAATGGCGAGCAGTTTGTGTTCAACAAGTCGATCGTCTCTGGTGTACCCAACGGCAAGGTTCTCGCTGTCCTGGACAGCGGCTTTACTTTACCTCCTCTACCTGCAGCGGCGGTGAACGCCATCTACAGTCAGATCCCCGGAGCTGTCCTTTACAACACCACCTCCGGTGCATTGAACGGCTGGATTGATCCTTGTGAGTTTGCCCCAGTCAATGTGTCCTTCACTTTCGCGTAAGTGAGCACAATCCTCAGGTCAAATGATCTTGCTCACCGCCGCGTTTGATAGTGGACAGGAGTACCCCATCCACCCCCTTGATCTCTTCATTCCCTGGTATCCAACCCTGATCATCGACAATGGCATCGAGAAGAACGTCACTGTATGCGGACCGGCGGTGCAACGTATCAGGCGCTCAGCCCCAGTGAGAACTTACATGGGCTCAGCTGTATAAGGTCGATTTGTAATGTATGACGTCGGAAAACCCGACCAAACCCATAATTTGGCAGTACACCCGACTTTGGCTGTATGTCGTTGTATGAACTCGGGTGGTCGTCCGATACCAACCAAACGCCGTTGGGCTGGGTCGGGTGCGGCCGTTTTCATTGGGTTAGGCGTGGTTACTGTTGAGACCCTTTGTATCAGAACATTTTCGCATGATCGTATTCTATTGTATGTCGTTGTAAAGCTACACGGTGGAATACAGCTACATTCAGGTATCATTGAATACAGGGGGAGAAGACTAGATGCCGTTGGATCACATCAGGACCAGCCCGTGGTGCCAATGGGGCGTGCATGCAGCAGTGTCAACCTCACCCGCAAGGGAGATCAACAGATGAGTGTGATGTCTAAGCCTCCTAACAACCACTTGAATGGGCCCGTCGTCGACACTGTCAGGATTCAAAATGCGAACAGATCAGTGATATTCGGCAATGGGACTCAATAGCGGTGCTAGACACATACTGTCTACAACGCAGGGGACCCGTCCGAGCATCTGTCGAAAAGGTGAGTAAAGGAAGTCAATACATGTGATCGAATACACCTGGCGCTCGGCATGACTCACAAACTCGCAGTGGGCCTCGAAGGTTTCCTGCGTTCCCCTGGTCTCCATGTACCATTTCCATGCATGTATCCACCTGCAACAGAAATGTGAATCAGGCACTCAAGGAAGTCAGTCAGTGAATGAGGGAGTAGTGCATGCTTGGCACCTTGCAGATCAGCTGGGGAGGCCATTGCGAGGTCTTGCGAGGCGCACATGTTTTTGTCGCTGTTGTCTGCTACGCTTGTCGAGAGACTGTATTGAGGGAAACGTACCTGCGGAAGCAACATAGAGGGAGACAGCTTGCAAACGAGGGGATAGAGATGGTAGACGTGGTGGATTAAGAGACGGAATGTACATCGAGCGAATTCAAACATCGGCGCCTAAAGTGCATGACATCATATTCTCATCGAGGAGGGAGAGATCGATGTCAAGAAAAGGTGAAGAATGCGAAACAGGAGTGGGATAACACTCACTGAGAACTTAAGGAGTGATCAAAATGAGGAAAAGGGGGGGAAGAAGACAATGCAAATGTGCAGATGTTGGTAAGCGTACCGAAGGGCTCCTCCTTGCATCAAACACCCTGTTGCGTCCAGAGCTCCTTGCCCTTGCCCTCATGCTCTACTCCTTGAGTCCAGGGACAAATAATAAATGTGGAATGATTGGGGGTGGTGAGCACAACAACAATAACGGGGGGACAGTGGAGCGAGATCTGGTTTGGAGGATTGTCAAAGTCCGCGGGCTTGGCAAACAACGACATGAGGGTGGCTCGCCTAAAGGGCACGCGTGCTAGTGCATTAGCACAAGGTAATGTATCACATAGGTCTTGGAGACATGTTAGAGACAAGCTTGAGAGACACGTCGACGTCACCAGCGTAAGAACATGCACGTCCGATCCAGTCACCGTAAGGTCAATTAGAGACACAGATTGAGCGCCTAAAATGGTCCGCCCAATCTGAATCGAGGCTTCCCGACCTCAACCGCTCTTACACGAATTTCGCCGATGTAAAACAACTGAACCCATGTAGGTTCTCACTGGGAGCGCTCAGCCTTGACGACAGCTTCAACACCTTCGACCTCATCCTCGGCGACGCGTTCCTCCGCAGTGTCTATGTATCGCGAGTCTCACCTGACCACGCGCGCACCTCGTGGGTGCCTCACGAGTCGCCGCTCTGCAGCTTCGACTACGGCGATTACCACCCGACGAATAATACCAATGGCCGGCCCTTCGTGCAGATGATCTCGACCGTCGACATGAACTCCGCCCAGAGCGAATTCACGAACTTCATCTCTGAGCTGGCCAGCAACGCACCCCCATCCCTTCCGCCATCCGTCTTTGTCACCAAGCAGCTCTCCCCATTGCTTACCGGAGGAGGTTCGAACTCTTCGAGCGACGGGAGCGATGGCAACGATATTGTCAGCGGGGCGCTCTCCACCGACGACTCCACCACGTCTTCTGGCTCTTCGAACGGTCTGGACAAGAAGTGGGGCACAGTCGCACTCGCGCTGCTTGGCGCGAACTTGCTCGTCGGGGTCATCCTGCTCGTGGTCGTGCTGACCAGCATGCGCGGGGTGAAGGGTCGGAGCTCCGGTCGGTACACTTCTGTGCCTGTACGGTTCAAGGAACCCGTCGACCGCGATGCGGAAACGAATCCCCTGCGGTACAGTGACTGAGAGTTGAGTCACATTTGAGGGCGAGGCGATCGCTTAAGCTTCACGGACCGAAATGACGTTGGGTACCGATAATCAATTGCACTTAGAGTACTGTCAAGGACGCTCGTAGATTTTGGCGCAATAATCATCTCTGTATCCCTATATCGAGCTACGTTGTTCCCAGTCCCCATCGAGTACTTGAACCACTTCACGCCTCTGCAGTTAAACGCGCTCACCTCATGCTCGTGTGTAGATCTCGCTGCCCAATATGAGTTCCCGCGAAGCATACAGTATCCTGGATCGCCTCCCCGCTGCGCTAAACTCGTCTCTATTCCGAAGTCATCACAGGGTGTGGGGGTAGGCGGAAAAATGGAGGGCAATCCAGGAACTCTGAGAACTACGGAGTGCCTAAGATCGGCAGAAATCGCCGGCCGGGTGGGATGATAGCCATTTTGGCTTGGCCTTGGTTCCACCCTTCAAGGCACTGCGGCCGAAGTCTCTCGAAATGCCACTATAGAGTACGAGATATGGTTGTACAACCCAGGACGACCACCTGTCGAGTATGAAGATCTTTGCCCTTCCAGTAACCCCTTTCCTGGACGTTCTTTCGCGCCGTGTCCCGAAGACTCACACGTACTCACCTTACGCGTTCACAAGCGACGTGTATTCCGTGCCTCTGCTGACGCGCATCTATTGTGGCGCAACGTAGTGAGGCGGTCATATGTTGTCCTGGACCGCCGCTCCATTTGACTTCCTGTGATCTGGATGTTTTCGGCAGACCAATCGATAAACCCTGACCTCCAGGTAGAGCACTGACAGCATTCCTGAAATCTTCCCTTAGACATCGCATGGAATTGCTTGAAGCTAAAATCCGTTAGTCTGTTCATGCAGAGCTTCGCTTGCAATGTACTTGCTATCGAAGCTGCTACACACTGTAACGAAGTGCGTGGAGTCGCGCCTTTGCACCCCACGTACCAAATTAGCCTCCGTGGACCTCTCATCCTGCCTGTCATCACGGGATTGAAACACGATCGTATGACTTCCATCTGCCCTCTCCACAACCAGTAGCTTGAGACTTTTGTTCCCTGGACATGGACCAGCTGCCATGGCTGCCGTGCCCCGTTCCGTCCCAACTATAGCAGTCGGCTCTTGATGACGTTGACTTCGGGGCCCGTGGCACTTTGGAAGGACAGTAAAACGCGCAGCTGGACGTTGATAAAGGGCAAGGGCGAAGCTAAGACGACGTATTCGTGAGCATCAGTCCGTTGTGCCCCCCTTGTCATGCAGATCTCTACCTTCTTCGCTGTGCTCGGATGGGTCCTGTCGACCGTAGCGATACCGGCAAGCCCGACGGTTGAGGCGGCCCTCCCTACCTCGACCGCGAATGTTGCCGGGCTCCACGCCCTCGCGAAGGCGGCAGGGAAGCTCTATTTCGGAACCGCGACCGACAATCCGGAGCTCACGGACCAGCCTTACGTTGCCATCCTGAACAACACCCAGATGTTCGGCCAGATCACGGCGGCGAACAGTATGAAGTGGGATGCCACCGAGCCCGAACAAGGCGTGTTTACCTTTACCCAAGGAGACCAGATCGCCGCTCTGGCGACAAACGATGGGCGACTGTTACGAGGTGGGCTTGAATGAGGTCTCGGAGCACGAAGATGGCATCGAGAGTGTTGACGCACCCAGGACACAATTGCGTGTGGCATGAGCAGCTTCCGAGTTGGGTCACATCTGGAACCTTCACTGCTGCCGAAGTGACTTCGATTATCGAGACACATTGCAGCACGCTCGTCGGACACTACAAAGGCAAAGTGTAAGGGACATCGTTCTTGTTCGATGGACGCTTGCTGACCGATCGCCAGTTGTGTGTCATGTCTCCAGAAATTGCTATCTCTAGTGTGATGCTGACGTACCGAGCGCAGACAGCTGGGATGTGGTAAATGGTGAGAAAGGGCCCTGCAGATACCAACCCCCCATGCTGCACTGACGCACTTTTCAGAACCCTTCAACGACGACGGCACCTTCGGCCAGGACGTCTTTTTCAACGCGCTAGGAGAGGACTACATCGCAATCGCCCTGCGCGCGGCCAAGGCTGCTGATCCTAACGCAAAAGTGTATATCAACGATTTCAACATCGAAGGAACAGGTGAGTCTGTCACTTACCCTACATATACTATAAGCCGAACTGATCAATTACAGGGGTGAAGGCCACCGCGATGAAGAATCTCATCACATCTTTGAAGTCTCAGGGAGTGCCCATCGACGGCGTCGGTCTCCAGTGCCACTTCATAGTTGGAGAGGTGCCCACAACTCTGGAAGAAAACATGCGCGAGTTCGCCGCACTCGGCGTCGAGGTCGCGATAACCGAGCTGGACGTGCGGATGACGCTCCCCGAAACTGCGGCGCTTCTGGAACAACAGAAGGCCGACTATCAGACGGTCATCTCTGCGTGCCAGGCTGTCCCTCAGTGTGTCGGCATCACGGTGTGGGACTTCACGGACAAGGTTCGTGTGCACCGACGTGCAGGATGAGCGATCTTGAGGCTAACGTCGATCGCTCGCAGTTCTCGTGGGTCCCTGGAGCCTTCGCGGGCCAGGGTGGCGCATGCCCTTGGGATGAGGTCAGCTTGAAGCTAGTACCGAGCGAAGACGTAGCCTACTAACTCCTGTGATGCCTGCAGAACTTGGTTAGGAAGCCGGCTTTCGATGGGATCGTGGCGGGTTTCTGAATTTATATGTCGTGTGCAATGACGTCGTCTCCTTGGTGTATGAGTAGCCTGCGTTTGAACCCCATCAGTCAATACGATGATACCCACACTCGGGCCGACGAGCGAGAGTCAACATCCCTCGGAGAAGGTGGTTGCGAGTAGAAGGGACCAACTTTACGCTGCACCCGAACACTGGCAGTTGAATCGTGTGGTGAGTAGCACTTGTAGAATGCGCCTGTCCTTGCAAGATCAAGTCCTGTGACAGTAAGTATATTGCCATGGGAGATCATTTAACTTAATCTGTACATCATTCGGCGGTTCCCAATTTGCCAAGAGATTACCAGGCATCCTCTTCAGTCTTGTCTGTTTCTCTCTCTTCTCTCTCTCTCGCTGTCCTCACCTTGGGGCACATGACGCATGCTATGTTGGCAAAGACTGATTTTTTAGAACGACGTTCCTCGAAGTTTGCAACACCCACCTCAGCTCATCGCCCTCACACGAAATATTTCGGGATCATCGCGAGTACTTTCGTATTCGACCATATCGTTTTGGTTTGGAAGTGCTGCGGAATTTCAAGTCGACACTGGCAGGATTCGTCAGTATAAGGGGATCCCTCTGTATGGTTGCATGCGTGTTAAAGGTGTCGAGATGACTGTGGATATGCATATGCACTCCGAAGAACGGAGAGCGGATTGAACCCGAGATCACTATTACATAATGGCACCGGCGCCCAGCGCCCATTGCGCTTTCCGAATCCATCGGAGCTCACATAGTAGTCGCAGGAGGCCGAATTGACAATATTGGACTGCCCTCCTCTTCTTCCTCCTCCCACTTATAACTTGGCCTGAGGCAGTTCACGATCCTACGGTAGCATCACTCCTACACCTGTCGGTGATCGATTGAGCCTACGTGGCCATCTCGCTGCAAAGCCTTAGAAGCGCACGGGACCGACTCTACAGTCATAACGCTTCACCAACGCGTCCGTAGTCGACACAGCGCGCTTAGGAGCCACCTATGTCATCCCAGGAGGAGGAGCTCTCGCCGCCCCACGTCTCGGAACCCGAGCAGGCGAAGCGGAAGAAGAAGCAGAGGGCTTGCGACTACTGCAGACGCAAGAAGAGTGAGTACGTCTATTCTTTGTGACTTGATAGGGGGCTGACGGCGACCGGACTGCAGTACGTTGTAAGTTCATCCCAGCTGTCCGGTTTGCCATAAGCTAAAGACAGGGTCCCCAATCCAGGCAATGGGGCAGAGATGCCAGACCATCGCTGCTCACGGTGCATTCAACAAGATCTAGAGTGCACCTATGAGCCTATCAATGTACGTGCACAGTATGTCTCAGCTGTAATCCCATATTCTTATCCATATCGCAGACGCGTCCTCCCAGCAAAAGGTGAGACCAGCTATCCATGACCCTGTGCCAGTGCCGGCTGTTGCGCACTCCAGCCCTCAGAATCCCCAGCGGGAACTCCGGGAATGGCACGCCTTCACCGATCTCGACGGGCTGATGCATGCTGCGTATCGTTTTCACCGGTTTCGCGGACTGTCTTTTTTTGAGCTCGTCGAGCAAACGCTGCGCGGAGCTCGTGTCTCGGCATGCGTACTGCTCATCACAATACAATATGACGCGACGCCGGCAGTGTCTGTTTGCGCAGCACCTACACTTACATTCGGGAGTATCGGGGGACGCCCAGATGTATGCCAAGGCTAGACGTTTAGTATGATGCCTGTCTACCCGTGAGCGTTTTGAGTTGAACAGTCCCCGCACCCGAGTATGTCGGGTACGGGTCTATGGTCAGGTAACCCGTGAATGAGGTACGGTGGGGTTGACTGAGTTGTGACCAATCCCCGTTACCCAAGGCAGGCTGAGCCGACCCGTGCCCGTCCTACCCAGTCGGCTTCGGCGAACCTCTATCAGGGTATTCTTCCATGCTGTCCTGGGTCATAGGCTGCATAATCCCTGCAGGGCCATTGCCATCGCCTGCTGCTCTTTCGCTGTTTCACCCTGCCTTTGGTTTGCGATGCTGATAGAGTACCCCAGCTATGTTCAGATCCTCGAGAACCGCCTGCAGAACATGGAGAAGCTGTTCGCCCAGGTGCGGAGGGTGTCCATCTGCTTATGATCATAGTAATTTACGCGTTTACCATCAGCTCCATCCCAATGTCGAGATACCGAAGGATTTTGACGGCACTCTGGAATCTGCACACTGGCGGATAGCACCTGCGCTCACCCAGGCGAGCCCCTCGCCGCGTTCATCTATCAGTGTGGCGGGTGTTTCCCCGTTGCCTGTCGACTCTCCATCTCCCGCCGACGAGGATGAACTGGACACTAGCGAGGATGAGCGTGAAGCCAAGAGGAATATCCTTGAGAGTCTCAAGCGGATCACAATCCCAGCTCACACAGGCGCAATGCGGTATCATGGAAAGTCGAGCAACTTGATGTTCCTCCAGAGCATAATCAAGCAAAAGTACCCGCGCTCCGATCGCCCAAGAAGTGAGCCCATGCAAGACATACAACAGTATCTCAAAGACAATCCTGCGGATTTCACGGCAAGTATTCTGGCAGCGGGCTGCTAGCGCTGGGCTCACCAATCCTTCGCTTAGTTTTTCAATACGGCTCCAAAAGATAGGGAGGAGAGGCCGCTGATGTGCGACTTCCCGGAACCTGATCTCATGGACAAAGTCGTCGACGGCTTCTTCGAGAACGTCAACGTCTACCTTCCACTCCTACACAAACCGACACTCCAGAACAAGATCGAGGATAGCCTACACCTTCGCGATGGGCTGTTTGGAGCGGTAGTACTCCTTGTCTGCGCGAACGGTGCGCTCTGGGTTGACGATCCACGGTTGGAGACGGACGATGGCAATGTGCCCGGTTGGAAATGGTTCATGCAGGTGGACACAGTGCGATGGTCGATCCTTGCCCGGCCGAAGTTGGAAGACATCCAGGCATGCGCTGTACGTGGTACTCAGTTGTGTGCTCTTCTATCATCAGTTTATCTCTATTTGTAGCTCACCGCGGCGTTCCTCGCATCGTCGAATCGGCCGCAAGGAAGCTGGACGGTCATTGGCCTCGGTCTTCGAATGGCGCAAGATGTTGGGGCTCATCGAAAGAAGATGTACGCAACGACTCCCAACGTAGAAGATGAGTTGTGGAGGCGTGCCGTGTGGTATGTTCACAAGCAGTACTAGGCCCACGTTGACTCACTTGCGAGGTCAATAGGGCCTTGATCACTATGGATCGCATGGCGAGCTTCGGCTTGGGTCGTCCCTGTGGGCTCCACGATGAGGAGTGAGCACCTCCCCCCAATCACATGTACGAGATTAGCTGATGCTTGGAGCAAGCTTCGATCTCGACTTGATGACAGAGGTCGACGACGAATACTGGCTGAATCCTGATGCAGCACTAGCATTCAAGCAGCCAGAGGGGAAGCCTTCGAAGATCGCTTTCGCAAACTGCATCATTCGTTTGCAAAGGATCCTTGCTTACGCCTCGCGGACTATTGTATGCGGACAGTTCCTACAAGCAAATCGAATGGCGTTGACATTTTCAATGCTACAGTACTCAATCAACAAGTCCAAGCAGACGCTTGGTTATGTCGGACCGGAATGGGAACAGCGGACAGTCGCGGAGCTAGACTCTGCACTTAACAAATGGCTCGACACCGTTCCCGAACATCGTGCGTTCGTCAATACTCGCTCTGTGTCCTGACTGCTCATCGACGCTACGGTTCTCGATAGTGAAATGGGATCCAAATCGCCAGGACGAATTCTTCCTGAACCAGTCATGCACGTTATACGCCAATTATTACCTGATGCAGATTTGCATACACCGCCCTTTCATTCAACCGAACAAGAGTAGCCGACTACCGTTCCCCTCGCTGACGATTTGCACGAACGCGGCTCGTTCTGCGATACACGTGATGGACACCCAGTTCCAGAAGTCTGGCAAGCCTTTGGTACTAAATCGAGTAAGGGCTACGCTTTGTACATATCTGAGGCCTCGCTGACAGCCGTACGTAGCTGCCTCTGTTTACCTCCGGTCTTGTGCTGCTATTGAATCTGTGGGGTGGGAAGCGGTCGGGTCTGTCCAATGAGAAGACCATGACAGACGTGCACAAGTGCATGCAGATGTTGAAACATCTGGAGCGGCAGTAGGTCCTCACTTGCCTTCGAGCCGTCACAAGCTCAGCAACCTTTCTCACTAGCACCTATGGAGCACGTAGGTTACGGTACGTAACCTATTCAAACTACTCGTCGTCGTGTTGCTCAATTTCATGTCCAATAGGGGTGTTCTCAATGGACTCATCTCTATAGGAGAGTTTCCTCCCCCCGGGGGATCTCACTTTACTGCGGTCGGGAAGCCTGACATCGGTAACCTTATTGGGACAATATTCGCCAACGACGCGGTGCAAGCTCCCAGAGACACGAAAATTCGTGCCAATGCTCCTGCTCTACATAAGGCGGACGACGCTCGCAGAACTGGTCTCTCCCCATATTACTACTCCAAGCCGCCGATAACCGCTACTTCACCTGCAACGTCATCGCCTTCCAACTCCGCGCCCACCCTAGCTTCGAACCCTGCTACGAACAGTGCCGCGCCCATGGACATGTCCTTCGAACTTCCGCTCCGTACGGAAGATTTGGGAAGGGTCCCGTTCCACTACGGATTTAGCTCTCCGTTCGCCAATGGAACTTCACACGAGCTTCAACTTCCCTCATACGTGCAACAGCAACCGCTGACGTATTACCCGGACCCCCATCAGCACGAGCAACTCGCTTCCGCAACCATTCCTCTATCTGACGGCGGTATAGGTGGCTCAGTTCAGCAGATACCCTTGAACGGAAACAATTCCGGGCCCGCCACATTTGAGATGTCGTTAGCAGAGTATAGTCAATTGCTAGCTGCGATGTCTGTGTCGGCTCCGTCCCCTCCAGAAACCAACGGGCAACAGATGTATCCACAAGGGCTACAGCAGTCGACGGCTACTGCTGGGAGCAATGCAGATACTGATGTGTCTATGATGTTCGAGGATAATATGGCGGAGGTGTGGTCTTCTGCGCCTGCGTCGCTTGAGTGAGTACTTCTTGACTACCTAGCACAACACTCACACTGATCAATATTCAAGATGGGGCGACTGGGGAGAGTATCTTAACAGCATAAGTGGGATGAACTACACGTTCACTAACCCACCTCAAGGGTTTTAAGACCATCGACTATTATAGTAATGGATCTAATTCGATGTACACCAGGAGCCGTCCTAATACCTCTTGTATAGATATGCGTAAGCTACATACCAGATTCCTACTCATGCGTGGCGTTCTTCCCGCTCTCGAGCCTGAAGCCGAAGTCGGAATCCTATGGCGTTTTGGACCGATTGTGGCAAACTTAGCTCATTCTTATGTGATCATACCGCATTCGGCTGGTATTCCTTACATCTGGATTGACCTGTGCTACATCGACAGAGCGAGTAGCTCGGAGCTGTGCGAGGCGACCAACTCGTTGTGTTTCTGCTATCAGAGCTCTGAGATCTGTTACGACCCCGGCCGAGTGAACCCTGTCATGGCACTCAAGGATACCAAGTGACGGTGCAACCGCAAAGTACGCAGGACCCTGACGGGTTGCACCTCCTCGAGCTGTCCAAGGGCGACCACAAGCTCCGGGGTAACTAGTCAGTGCGTGCGTGTCACGAGCGTCTCAAGACACGGCGCCTAGGGCTGTAGGACATCTACATACAGTGGACCGTTTGACAATTCACCTCGCTCTCGACCTCGTGGACGCCACAACACACCGTTGGCATCTATTTGTCGAGGTCCGCGAATATGATGATCCAGGTCTTACTTTCCTCGTTGATCCAGCAAGCGACGCGCTCGAAGTCAAGCAGCACGCTTTCTCCGAGTCGAGCTCGGAGAAAGGCAGATTCAAACGACACGTGGGCTCGTAGCATAGGTAGCTGGACCTGAAACCACCGATGATATCACAACTGATGTCTTGATTATAATCAGACCGATTGTCATGCCTGATGTCCTAGTGGTACACTCAGCAGAAATGTAAGGCGTAGCAGTCTTCAGAATCGTGTCCATGAAGAATGAAAAGGCGGTCTAGGGCCTGGACTACGAGGCCAAAAAATCGGGGTCTTGTACCCCTCCCTGATCGTGAATATAAGCCTCCCATTGACTCCACCTGGGCATACGAAAGTTAGTCAGGTCCCTTCACGTGTGATGGTCAGACATGGTTTCTCTCCACTTACAGCTCGCCATCTGGCGCTGTGCACCATTGCCATAGCCCAGCATCTTGATCCTGATCCCCATCCCTGAGCCAAGCTGGAGGGTCGGCTACCAGACTTGCAAAGGTAGATGCTTCGGTCGGTGCGCACGCGTCCAGCGGATGGGAACTAGCAGCATTCTCCGACGTTGATGGTGCAGGTACGTGAGTCGAAGAGGTCGGAGGCGCGTACTGCATGCTGTCAAACATGCTTGAGAGCGAGTCAAGAAATCCGAGATCCACAGACGTCAGTGAAGGTGCGCCTGCCGGAATAGCTAACGTCGGGTCCGTTTGTGTCGGGGCAAGGCTTGGTCGATGTCCCGCAAGAGGCGCAAACGACGGCCCTGTCCCGTCACCGTCCGTCCCAGCAGAAAAGAACGGCGACGGAAGCCTGTCCTGCGTGAAGGGCGTATTGATCGTGTTGGACTCGAGTGCCCACATGTCACATCCCGAGAACAGGTTGTACGCGAGCTCGTTCAGGCTCGCCGCCTGTTCGGGATTGATGCCAGTGGGGTCCGAGCAGGAATTGGACCTGAGTGTATTCATTTCCGATGAGAGCGCGGGATCTGCACTGGCGGGCGTGCTGGGGGTGCCGGAGCTGTCAGAGCTCGAGGTGGTGTGAGGAGAGATACGGAGGCTCTTCATTGCAACTGTCAGAATCTCATCAATCGTCTGTGCGCCTTCCTTGGCAAGGTTGGAGCCTGGTGCTGTACGAGGTCCTTCCCCGGGTGACCTGGAAGCAGAGGGGACCATAACTTCAAGGACGGCCCTGCGGGATGGTAAGCACAGGATTGTGCATGCTGAATTTGGGACGAATACCTCAGCTTTCGTGCACCAACGCTACTGGAGAGGGGGATAGGGTCAGACGGCCGGCCGCTAAAAATAGAGCCTCACGAGGAACTCACTGCTCCTCGAAGTCCTTGAGAATATTGAAACAGATATCCATGTCCTCCAGAGTGGCCTGCGCGTCCCTCGCCCCACACCAGAGGTAGACACCCAACATGGTTCCTACTGTGAACAGCGGCATTTCGAACGGGGTGAAGGTGTAGCTTGTGATGCCCGACGCTGCCATCATGCGTTTGTGCTGGGCATGGAGCACGCGAACGCACGCCCGTGCTGCATTCACGCAGATCGTCATGGAAGGAAGCGGGGGATTGTCAACACGCCGACGGGGCGATGGAATGAATGGGCGATGAATGCAGATCTGGAGCTGATAGTAGCTGGTGTAGAGGATCGCCGATTGGTAGAAGAAGAGGATGTCTTCGCGGTTCGGGTCCCAGCGTACTATGAATGGAGTTCATTCAACAAGTGTAGTGAGAGGGCGAATGGCACGTGCTCACAATGGGGAGGCACTGTATACAGCCACTTGTTCATCGAGGAGTCGAGCTCCGCAACGATGCGTTGTTTCCACTCCGGGCCGACGTAGCCAAGCAAGAGCTTGGACTTGTTCAGCGTGAACTGTCACGAGGTAAGCCGGTGTTCGCTCAGCGGTACTGTAGTCGAAACCGCTTACAATCGTGCGCGAAGCAGAAGCTTGTATTTTCAGCAGCCGAA